GGTGTAGGTATAGTGTGATATGCTCATGTAGTTATTTTTATTTAAGCACTTACTAAAAAATCCACAATGAATCTTTAAAAGAAGCAGACACAAATAGTATTTTTAAGGGGAAAAAAAGGATTAAATTTGAGGGACCTACTCAAAGACTGACTTAAAAGTAGAAAGAAACTTGAGTTGGCATCAGAAGATGAGAGTTCTAGTCTCCATTCTCTCACTAACTTCTTATTTGACATTGGGCAGATAATTCTCTTTCTCTGGGCTAAATGATTCAGTTTCCTTTGAGTTCAAATGCTATTAATTATAAGATCAAAAGTCCCTATCAGCCTTTAGAGAACCAGAGGTGGAGAAAAACAAAAATTAGGAAAGTAGAAAGATGGTAAAATAAAGGGGTACTGTGGAACTGTAGCATAGCAGGGGGGTAAAAGCTTAGCAGAGAAACTGAAGTTCTAAATTCTATTGGGGTGTAGGAAAAGTCATGACTTATTTTTTCTATGTTTTTCATTGCAAAAATGCGTCATGACTTTTCCAACAACCCAATAGTTCTGGTTCTCCCATCAACTAGTTAATTAACCTTGACAAGTCACTGTCCCTCTTTAGATCAAGATTTCCCCCACTTATAAAGTAACCCAGTTGATCTTCCAGCTCTAATAACCTAGAATTCTAAGCTAAAGGCTACTGCCACTATGAACAATGAAATTCTATTGAATTGATATGTTCGTCTTAGTCAGAAACAGAACATATAAATATTTAACAGAGAAGAGTCCCAAACCTCATTTGAGCTTTCTCCCAAATTCTAATTCAAATATTTTTCTAGAGCCAGTCACAAGGACTATACTTTGAATTCCCCTATTCTTAATGAATTGCCGAAAAACTCACCAGAAAAGAATAGAAACAGGCGCTGCCTAGATAATATATCAATCTCGTCTCTTTGTTGTCTCCCTCTTTTCTGCCACTGTAGGTATCCTTATACTATCCACTGTCTGGACTGAGCCAAACCTACCTCTTGATTCAAATTCTTCAAGGCTGAGTTCAAATCTCACTACTTTCATGAAGCATTCCCTTCCCACTCTAGCCCACATCCATCTCTCACTCCTTTAAATTTTTATAGTACTACATTCCTGGTAGAGATTAAATGATATTTATAAAGAGCTTAGTAAAGCATTTGGCATGTAGTAGTTGCTCAATAAATGATAGCAGTTGGTGGTGTTGCTACACCTTTAGCACTAATCAATACCCTTTAGTTCAGTGCATCTTAAATTTAATGTGCATGTGAATCACCTGGAGATCTTATTCAAAGGCAAATTAATATTCAGTAGGCATGAGGTAAGACCTGATAATCTGTAGTTGAAAGAGCTCCTGGTTGATGCCAATGCTGTTGATCCAAGGACCATACTTTGAATAAAAGGAGTAGTTTTTAGTAAGCTTTTAAAACATGTATTCATTTTACCAGCCCAACTGGACAGAAACATCTTAGGAAACAAATACAATGCATCGTTTTTCTTAGTAGATATACCCTGTATAGAGAAGGTGTCCAATAAACATCTGTGGATTTGCCATATCTGCAGTCTCTAGATAATCTTTAGAATGCCTGGGCTGTACTGATTTTCAAATCAAACGCTGAGACATGTTATGATGAAAAACTCATTTTGTCCCTGGGATTGGAATCACTGGAAGGGAGATAGGGTAGAATTTTAGAGAAAACTTACCTCTTCACCAGGGAGCGTAATACACAGAAAAAAAACATATAAATGGATGCTTGTTCCTTGTTTAAGCTCAATGATCATTTATTAAAATTCAATCTTAACTATACTTCAAATTTAGGTATGAACCTTAAAAGAAGATGCATGTTCAAAATACACACATGTATGTACATATATAATTAGCGATTTACATATACATAAACCACTAATAATAATTACTAATAAGGTATATAATGAGCTTATATCATTCTTTTAATGAGACAGACACATTTTTCAATGATCCTTTAGTATGCAATTAATCTAAATATCTCAAGCAACCGATGACAACACATTTCAAGCAAAAGAGAGAGAAACACCTTCCAATTTCTCCATCAACTTGGTCAGTGGTAAGGTCCCCAAGTTCCATTGCCAATATTATACTGATAGTCAAAAGAATTTGCTGTGTATTAAGGCTGCTCTGAGAGGCTGCCTATTTTAAGCCCTTCTTTTAAATCTCCAATTATTTAAATGCTTGTTAAAACCCTCCTTATTTTAACATTATATAATTCAGATGGGACCAATTGTCTTAAATTCTACTGAGAGGCTACACTCTGGCTTCCTATTCAAGCACTAGGAAAATAATATTGGGCATATAATGACACTGCTCACTGAGTACTATCTAGATAGCTTAAACTGTGAAACGAATTTACTAATACCAGCCTTTAAAGTAAAAAAAGCACCTTTTAAGTCACTGTGTTTGTCATAAGCAGGCACCTTCTCCTTAACTCAGCAACCTTTCAATAAAACCAGTCATCAATATTTAACCAAGATGTTTTTAACAAATTTTAACAAATGTTAGAAGACAAACTACAATTCTTAGAATTGCTATTAAGCACAGAAACACAGAAGCACAGAACTGTTGTCAAGAACTAGACTCAAACTGGGTTTTTTACTTTAATAAATCAATGTTGTTACTTCAGAGAAAATCAGAAAACGGTTGGAAGTCAGCACATGGTGGCTTCTGTTACTTCCATCAGAAGTCTAGTCTCCAAGGCAAGGCAAATTCCCTGGTTCATGCCAGGTAGTCTTCCTAGAGAATAATAGTATCCAAGATAAGTTTCAAATCTCAAGCCACTGAAGCAGTTAGAACTAAAACGCAAATCTACAACAGCCTTATCATACCCATACAAATGAGTATTTTCTTAACTGTGGGTACCTAACAGGTCATTAGATCCAAAATAAATGCCTTCAACTGGATAAATCAGGACAAGGTGCTGGAGGATCAGGTTCTTGCACAGAAAAATGAAGCACCAATGTCATTCCCAGTTCTCCTCTCATTGTCCTGGTCTGTCTTCAAGGCTCACATTGTGTGAAGCTTTCTCCAATAACTTCAGCTCTCACTAATGACTTCATTTATTGAATGCCTAAAATAGTAGTCTAAGCTAATAATTCTAGATTCCTTTTTGTTAACTGTTTCATGTTTCCATTTTGTCTCCCAAATTTGAGTATGAGTTCTCTGTAAGGCCCCTACACTGCCTGGCCCCTAGAGGGAGCCTATTATTAATATTGCTAATAACATAGTAATAATAATGAGGCAATATAACAGTGCACTGGCAATAGTGGCGTCAAATGGGCTATGTTGAAATCCCGGTTCTACTATTTGCTGGCTGTATGACTGAGAACACATTACTTATTTTTTTGCTGAGCTTCTGTTTAGTGAGAATTCAATGAGATCTATAGTATTAGAGCACCTGGTACAGGCTCTGGCATATAATGGATGCCCAGTGAAGCTTAGTTACCTTCCCTCCCCACTAATAAGCACTTGTTGATTTAAACTGAGTTAGAGTAATTCTCCTAGGGGGTTGTCAACGGCACCATCATTCATATTTTCATGCTTTCCTCGTTATACTCTTGTTTGTGCTTCTGTCATTTCCCAATAAAGGTCCCTTCAGATTTTCTACTCCAGAGCACTGTCTTGAGAAAAAGCCAACTACACAAGTCACCCAAATGACCATTCAGAACGGGCATATTAGGGGCCAGCAGGAGGGCATCTCCACGTTTACACCTCACTTCTATCACACTCATGCCAGCTCTCCCTCCCTCCCGGTCTCCCAGTGAGACAATGATAGAGAGAAAAGCAGTGAAGCAACCAAAAGAGGAAATGGAGATAAACAGCTCTGCGGTCCCTCTGTGCCTCCCTCTTGGGAGGAAACACTCAGGTCCAATCTCCAACCTCAACTCCTATGAGAAAGAAAAATAAACAAAAACAACCCTTCTGGTATTCCAGAAGAAAAAGCAACCCAGACTCCTGGCCTCTTCATCGCTTCAAGCCCTTCACCAGTCAGTTCCACCTGAATCACCACCCACCCTAACTACCCCCTGGGGTCAATTTTCTGCTACATAAAATAGAACCTCTTAGGATTGACCTGCCTTAAATGGATCTCATTCCTGCTTTTACCAACTGGAGGTGACATTTTCCCCCAGCCTTCACCATTCTAAATAATAATAATATGATGATGATGATTCCTGAAGTTCCTGTCTAATGCATTAAGGCAGATCTTTTTATTTGTGGTCCTTTAATGGTCCAGAATATTTTACCTCGGCCATCGTCTTCCCAGCTGGAAAAGGTCACCATCACTCCACTCCCCCCACACACACACACACACAGAGAAAAAAAAAAAACAAAAAACACAAATCCCCTCCCTCCTGCACAAAATACAAGAATTTTTTTTTATTATTCCTAAACGGACTTCAGCAGCGATGCCAGGGAACAAGCCAAACCTTGATGTCAATATTGATATCGGCATCCCTCGGGTCTGGTGAAAAAAATACCCTTCTCACCCTCTCCCCTCCAAATACCCACTTCCTTTCCAAATTCAATCGCGCCTTAGAAAGTAGAACCTTTTTGTATTGTTTTTAAATGTCCCTTTGGCGATCTGGTCCCATTTTTACCTCAGTTTTTCTGTGCCTAGGCTGAAAAGTCTGACCCCTCCGTACCCTCCTCAAAAACAAACTATTTCTTAAGACTCTTCCCGGCTGCACAAAGTAGCTCCTCCTTGCAGGTGTCTTGGAGGAGCTGAGACAAGTGAGGAAATCTCTTACCTCAGGATTCACCTTTCCAGGCGGATCCATGTCCCCCGCCCCGCAAACACCCCCCCTCCACTCACCCCCCATCTCCTCGCGGCGGGACCACGCAGGCCCTTCTTTTTATTGGTCTGAACTCTCTCCTTGGCACCCCGGAGCCATCTCCTCCGCGGACCCCAGCTGCCCCCCGCAGACCCCGGGAGCCCCGAGCGGCGGCGGCGGCAGCCGGGCACCTACCAGTCGGTGTGCGACTCGTCGACGACCAGCAGCACCTTGGCCTTCCTGGCAGCGGCGGGCGCGGGCGCGGGCGCGTCCACCAGGCCGGCAGAGGCGGCCGTCTGCTTCACGGCTTGGGACAGCGAGCTGAAGAAGCTGCTGCCCACCGACGGCGCCGGGGCTGCCTGCGGCGCAGGGTGCGGCGCGGATGCCGGGGCCGCCGGCGGCCTCCGCTCCGGGCCCGGAGAGGCGGCCGGGGGCGCAGACGAGGCCGCGGCCGAGGCCGCGCCCGGGCCGGGGGACGGCGGGGGCGGCTGCTGGGGCTCTGGCCGCTGCAGGTCCGTCATGTAACCATTGGGCAGGTTGGCGATGAAGCTGCTGTCAGACAACCGGCGCCGCAGGAAGTTCATCATCTGGCTTGAGGGGCTGGGGGCGCGCGGGGCGGCGGGGCCGGACAGTGCGGAGGGCGAGACTGAGGCGGCGGCTGCGGGCGCAGAGGTGGCTGAGGAGGCTGAGGCGGCTAACGCTCAGTCCGCGACGCGCGAGCCCAGCGGACAGCCGCGGCGGACTGGGCCGGGTGGGCCCAGCGGCGCGAAGCTTAGCGCCAGGGAGCGGGCGGGGCCAGGGGGCGGGGCCACAGATGGCACCGCCTCACTCCGCAGAGCCGGCACCGCCCCCGACTCGCTGCCTGCGTGTGGGGCACCTAGCCGTGGGTCTCCCGGGTCTGCGGACTTGGAGGCGGGGTAGAGCTAAGCCTCCTGCAACATGAGCGTAGCTCTGTGGGGAGGGCGTGGAAGCCAGTCCTGCTTCTCAAGAAGAGGGAAAAGGGAGCCAAAAGCCCCTACCACTTTTTGTCCCACCCGAGATGAAGGCAAAGGAAACTGTCCCCATTTTGGGGGGAAGAGAGGTGTTAGCCTTCCTGCCCTGCGGTGAGAAAGGAAGCATTCTCTGAGCGCGAGCGCGCGTGTACACACACACACACACACACACACACACGCTGTAGTGAGAAGAAAAAAAAAGAACCATCTCCTTTCCCAAAGCTGGGGAAAAGCTGTCATCTCCCCACACCCCAGGTGAGGGAGGAAGGAATAATCCGTCCTCACTAGCGCGCGCGCGCGCTCACGTACACACACACACACACATCCTATGCTGAGATGGACAAGAACTCCTCCCCTTCCTCAATGCTGGGGAGAAAAACATCCCCAACACCCCCACCCCAAGGCGATGGAGACAAGTCCCAGTGGGGAAGCAAAGAGTCATCTCTTCTACTTTGGGGAGGAGAGGGTGAAGAGATCCTCTCCACCCGGTCTTGAAAGGATGTGTGGGGCACATTTTTGATGCCTGCATTTGAGGATGGCTCACCCAAGAGCATGTATTCCTCTTCCCCTCCTCATTAACCAGAGAGAGGAAACCATGTGTAAGGCTGGAGATACACACACCGCCTCTCTAGAACTCCCAAATGGGATACCTAAGGCTCCCCTACCCCTTCTGTGTTCACCTCCCTGTGAGGTATTGGTGCATCCCATGTATTACAAAGAAGGCTATATCTCTTCAAGATCTTTCTATTTGGTTTTTCCAGTTTATTCATTGGCCAGATCTGCCTGGACCTCCATGAAGACTTCCTTGATTACCACCTTCCAATGTATACTCCCTAAATCTTGTGTGACCCCTGGACCTTTGTTTTCAACTCTCATGAGATATACTTTATCCCTGTATTGCAGAGGAACAAGACACAGCAGATACACTTCACATTCAGACCACTCTGGTGATATGTGATCTTGGGCAAATTAACCCTCTGAGCCTCTTTTCCTCATCTGATAAAAGGAAATAACTTTTCTAAGTTGTTACACAGAGTAAATGAGATCATGTATGTAAAGCACCTGGCACACAGTAGGTATTCTATTAGTGTTGACTGGATTCTTATTTGAACTAGTTCTCAGTATTTATTGGGCAGAGTGGAATCAATGAGAATCTTGTCACTACTATTGGCAGGCAGTTCTTGCTTCCTACATCCCAGCTGGCACTCAACTTGGAGCCAGGAGATGTACAGTTCAGCTCTGAGTCAGAGACCCAATGACATCCGAGAGGTGTCCAGCCAACTGTAATAATACAGCGGTCTTCCCATCTATCATGTGCCAGTCAGTGGTAAGAGCTGGATAGACCGATAAGAATGGGAAGTGGCCCTCGTCTGTGGGAAGTTTGCAATCTATGTGGGCATGGGCTAGAGGAGAGAGTGGGGAGGATAGATACAGGAACAACTAACCACAATAAGATGTGAGAAATGCATAATACAGTTGGGCAAGGTGGTTTAGGAGCACCAAGGAGTGAGGGATTCATTCTGCCTGTAAGGCTTATGGATGGCTTCTCAGGGGAGGTGACATTTGAGATGGGTCTTGAGGCAGCTACAAGAGTTTACCAGTAGGGGGGAAAGCACACAGGCAGAGAAAGCATGGAGGACTGCTAGTTGATGACTCCTCCAGGAACACTTCCCTCAATCTTCTGGGGTGAGCTAAATGTTTCATCTCCTGTGCTTGGCTTTGTCATAGCCCATGAAGAAATTATAATAAAATATTCTGACGACTAGAATATAAGCTTCTCAAGGATAGGATTTTAGTGTTTTAGTCATCTTTGGACCCCAACTCCAAGTAGACTGCCTGACACATAGTAAGGTTTCGGTTGTTTGAGAATCAAACTGTTCTCTTACCCAACTCAGTTCTTGTGTCTATTGGGAAATAAAACTAAGTCACTAATAGCTTAAGGAAATAAACTTAATGTATTGCCCTTCCTAGGAGTATTTTTTAGAGATTCAGAGGAATCTTTTCTAAAGGCATAAATCTCTAGTGATGATATTTCAAACACTGTACCACTTTAAGTTTTTTGGATGATTGGTTTTTTATATTTCACTAAGTTATTCCCCCTAACCATTAACTTGCAGTGTATGTATAATATTTAAAAATCAACCAATTAGCAAACATATTTTGAAGTGCCTAATATGTGCAAGGCATTATGCTAAACACTGGAGGGTAAAGTAGATTCCAGAAGGAAGAAAACCCAAGTTCTGCCCTTAGGAAGACAAGTCATGTGAACACATAGCTAGCAACAGAAGAGCAGAGTAACCAGAAAGTGGAGCAGGCAGTGAGTGTTAAGGAACCAGAGGAAGAGTAGATCTCTGGGGTAGGAGAAGATTTCACAGGGAAGGCAGAGCCCAGGCTTTATAAAATGGGTGGAATTCAGTTAACCAGAACAATGTAGAGAAAGCAACCGAAACAGAGGGAATAGCAAGATCAAAGTCAGGGAAGCTGGACTGGATAAGTTATAAGAATGTATAGATCTACTCCTTGAAGGCAAAGACCTTCTCTGTGTTATCACCATATTGCTTGAGCCTTAGAATCGCACCTGGCATGTAGTATGCATCCAAATATTTGTAAGAGAGGCTCTGAGAGGCTGTACTTGTGTGCATGTTTATGTTAGTGTCTATCCAGCTTTCTTTGTAGATGACAAACAATCTCAAGGTGAAGAGTTCTTTCTGCTTCTCTCAGAATGATCTACAAAGTCTGATATAATATCCAACACACAGTAAGTGACCCAATCTTGGGTGCTAGATCTGAATGTTCCCAGAGAACTGCTTAGCTATAGATTTCTTCGTTAATACAATGGAAGGCCACAAGACCATTATAAAATGTTTATCAAATATCCCATTAATTTGTTATTTTCTGGTAGGTTTTAGCAAGAATTACTCATGGAAGAACAGACTTTTCTTATAATTGGGCATGGTGGTCATTACTCTGTTGTATATAATCAGAAGATTTTCATTAGTTAGCACAACTGTAAGTCATATGTGCGTAAACCAATATCCTCCATGCTCCACTGAGTTTTTGACAAGAAGTGTCTTCGTGGCATGCAAAAATACTTTATTATAAATGGGCTTGGGTTTTTTGTTTGTTTGTTTGTTTGTTTTTCTTGGGGTTTTTTGTGGGGGGAGGTTTTTAATGAGCTGTAATGAAAATCTTTTCCTTATCCTTACCGATGGAACTAGGTTCCAGATGCAGGGAGAATATAGCACCATTAGTCTATGTTATGCCTTGCCTTTTCCATGGAATTGAAGGGCGAGCAGGAATTGGAAATGTTACAAAATGTAAAATCCTGGTGCAGTTAGGCCCTTTTCTGCCTATATCCTTGAGACCAACGAACCATTCCCCATCACCAGGTGGAAGGCATTTCTCCCAGAGCAATCGGTGGAGGGGGTCTCCCCCACCTTTTTTAATGATTCAGGGATCAATTAGCCAACTGTCAGAATCTCAGAGAATTTCAGAAGCCCAGGACTCTTTGAGGAGCTTCCTTGTGTAATCTTTATCTTTCCACTAAATTGTAAACACAAGTAAACATCTGGCAACTGCAGATGAAAGAATCCTGTTAAAATCAAGAACCAATTTAAATGCTTTACCGCCTCTTATTTCTCTCTTCCCTTTAGCAACAATGCAGCCCAGCAACCTCACAGGGAGAAAGGCTGGGTACAAGACTACGAAGTAATTGAAGTGTTTTCTGCAGGCAAAGCTCAAACACAGAGCTTAAAGGGAAACCTAGTGCACCGAGCCTCCTGGCAAAATGCTTTTTGACTGGGTGTCCTCCCAAACAAGGAAGTTTGCTAGAACATACCACCCTTGGCCCTTCCTCAATTCTCAGGATCAGGGACCCCATTCAGACCCACCTGCCCTAAAGAGAAGTAGAAAAAGTTTGGGATTCAGAAACTGTGGGTTCTAGTCCCAGCTCCATCACTAATTGGCTTTAAGATTTTCAACAAGTTGATGAACTGTCTGGATCTCTTATGTAAACAGTGAGGGATAGATCTGCCTTGGGCCTCTCAAGAGAGAATATTGGAACACTTTGAAAATGACAAAGCTTTATCATTATTTCCTTTCATACATATTTTTACCTGTCATATGGAGAACCTGATTGAACTGAGAGTTTGTCACCTCCATTCAGGTGGGCCTTCTTGACAATTAGCCGTGTGGACATGTGCACGCCTTCCTCCTCTACCTCTGTATAGAGGACAGTTATATTCCCAACTTTAAATTCTCCAAAGATGGCCATGTCAGCTGGGCCAGTTGCTATAATTAGAAATCACACAAACTTAAGTTCAATGTGTAAATCTGCCTCATGGTAGCTGTGTAACTTTGAACAAATCACTTTCAGCCTCAGTTTCCTCTCTGTAAAAGACCAGTGATAATTATCATCAGGACCTTGAAGGACTGTTTTGAGGACTAATGAAGATAAAATATCTGAGTATGTTTTATAAGCTGTAAAGTACTGTGCAAATGTTAGCTATTAATATTTCTGACGCCAGGGAAATCACGAAATTAACCAGTACCGCAACTAAAATACAAAAAAGTTCTCCCCCCACACATCCTTATCCCAAAGTTACACACCCAGGAAAATTCATAGAAGGCATGAGGTGGACCCTCTGCAGCTACCCCCAGGCTGTCATACCTGCTAAAATAAATGTGATAAGCACTTCAACTAATGGCTTCTACCTTGCTGGGTGACCTCAAACAAGGCACTTAACTTTTCTCTTCAAGCTTCCATTTCCTAGCTTGGAAAATGAGGGAGAGAGAGTTGAGCTGGGTGATCC